CGCGGGCTTTTGAGGGGTCGGATTTACCCAATGCGGCTTTAGATGCTCTAACAGTATAAAGCTAATTCAACTCAACTCATCATTTGTAGATTCTTAGATTATAAGATACTATCATTTTTTAGAATTTGATAAGAAATGTTCGAAGGACTTTAGAAAACCCATTGTAATTTTTTCATGGACATAATAAAGATATTAAACAAGTTTTTGTTGGTTAGAATATGTGAAAACACAAATTTACATATAGATATCATCCCATTCGGAGTTAGTATGATTTGATTCAGGTGAACACGTTGTCGCGACTGCGAGGGTCGCTGGGTTGGCCGGCGGCAGTTTTAATGCCGTTGCGGCTCTAGATTCTTCTTGAAGGCTTAGCCGTGTAGTTATGCGGCTGGAGCGTTCGGCCAGGGAGGTTTTTCTACCCTCATGGATGGCGGTGTGATCTTCGGATAGGATCGGCCATGTCATAGGCTGGATTTATGTTTCTTTTTAGCTCTCTTTCTTTTTTTTGTTGCTTTTCGGACCTTGGATTTGTTGGCTGTGTGCATCTAATTATGCAGAGGCTGGGTGTTCTTTTGATGCGACTGTATCACTTCGATATCTCAATTCAATGAAATGCCCTTTATAAAAAATGTATTTTTTGTTTTGTTTGTATGTTTAACCATAGAGTTAATGGTTATCTGGTGAAGTTACTATCACGAGGCATGCGGCCTCAAACTTTTTTTGGGTCCATGTTATTTGGCTCCTGGCTTTTGAATAATAAATAATATATGGCATCCTTGGCCTCTGCGGCAGTGACAAACTGTCGACCAAACCCTGTATTTAAACCAATCCGTGGCCTCTGCGGCAGTGAGAGGATTTATTTTTTCTTCTTTTGGCCATTCCAATTGGTTCTCTAGATCGTTTGCTTCGACAGCATTTGGCAACCGGCCTTGGGACAAAATTATAGGTGTTCCGGGAGTCAGTGAGCATCGATGAACATGAATGCGGTATCGCAAACAGTTAGGGTGTGTTTGGTTGCAAGGGCGGTCATGAATGGGATGGGATCGTTCAGAAAATAGACATGTTTGGTTATAAAGCACATGAATGGTTCGAGCCAAAAAAGAGAATATGCCATGAAGATGCTGAACCGTTCCACCCAACCAAATCGGTCGAATCAAATGGCCACCCTTTGCATACATGACTATGTGAGCATGACTGGTGGTCCCGTCCTAAATAATTAGCTCACCACTTATATTCAGCCAAACACATGAATTGAATGATTCATCCCAAAAAAATTGAACGGTCCCAACCCATTCATACGACACCTTCAACCAAACGCATCCTTAGTCTTGTCGTCTGCAAGGCAGCAGAATTAGGACAGAACCCCAACAAGACCAACCACCCGGCACTGCAGTGACGCATTTCAAAGCCCAAACAGTACCGTCCGCGGCATCTTTGCCTGCCTTCGGATCGATCGTCGATGCTGTCGCCGCCCGCCATGACTCGTCGCCATTGGCGGAACCAGCGGGTGTGCCGGGTGTGCGGTGGCACACCCAGAAATCTGAGATTTTTTTATATATATACATATATTGACTTTGAGTCTTTGACTGTTGACTAATGAGCCCAGCGGCCAGGCCCACCTCATCCTTTTCCCTATCTGAGCGAGCGAGAGAGGCAGAGCCGCACGCAGAGGACTACCTCGGCCACTCGCGGACTCGCCCACTCCCCGCTAGCGCTCGGCCGCCTCCGCTGGAGGCTGGAGCTCCTTTCCGTTGCCACTCGCCACGAGCAGCCTGACCTCTCACTCCCAGGCTGCCCTCCCAAGGCGCCGTCGCGCCGACCGGATCAGACGGCAGACGGCCGCTGCCACTCCGGTCTGCGGAGGATCTGCTTCGGCCTCTCGTCTCCTCCGGTCCTCGCCCGCTCCAGTGCTCCCTGCCCCGGTCGTGGGTGAGTTAGGTGACCCGGCTGCTCATTGCACTGCGACAATGCGACTGCTAGATCTCGTTTGTTATATGATGTCTGTAATGCTTCAACTTTGTAGTGTTGTTTCTGAATTTCAATTAGAAGATGTTGTTAGGCAGAATTGCAGAACATCAACAAGCTGACATTATGCCATTTTTATTAGAAATTGTTGTTAGTAGTTAGCAGAAGTGCAGAGGACTAGGGTGTGGCATTTTTATTTGTGCTCTTTGTATGCATGTATGAACTAGTCTTGCTGACATTATGTCCTAATTGTAGAACTGAAGATGAAGAGGAATGGTGACATTAAGTCCTTTTTCAGGAATTATGAGGCAAAAACAAGAAAGGTTGTAGCCCCTCATGAAGAGCAACCTGAACCTGATATTGATCCACCTCTAGTCCATTCAGATGCAGAGATTGACATTGATATCGATCCACGTCCGGTCCATTCGGATGCAGAGATTGACATTGATATTGATGATGAAGCGCCACGGCAACCATGACTAGCTAGACCCAGCGACACTCGTTGGGGTTTTCATTTTAAAACCATTATGCACATTGTTAGCATGTATTCCACAATCCTTGAAGTACTTGATGCTATTGGAAAAGATCCTTCACAAAAAAGTGAGTGGACAAGAATACGTGGAGTTGCTCAAGCCTTTGAATCATTTGACTTTGTTTTCAATCTTCACTTGATGCTTGTTATTCTTGGCTATACAAATGAGTTGTCCAAATCTTTGTAAAAGAGACATCAAGATATTGTCAATGCAATGACACTTGTTACTTTGGCAAAGAGTAGAATGCAACACATGAGGTCTCATGGTTGGGAAGAATTTCTTGCAAAGCTAACCTTATTTTGCAACAAACATGAGATTCAAGTTCCTTTGTGGGAGGATATTTACGAGCCTAATCGAAGATCACGTCAGTATTATGAAGTACAAACAAATGATGATCGTTATAGAAGAGAAGTATATCTTGGTGTCATTGATCAAACCATTCAGGAGCTTGACAATCGGTTTGATGAGGTTAATACGGAGTTGCTTATTTGCATGTTGGCTTTGAATCCCCTCAATTCATTTGCTTCTTATGATGCACTCAAGGTAATAAGACTTGCTGAATTCTATCCCATGGACATTTCAAGCACATATTTGATAAGACTAGAATTTCAACTAGCTAATTTTATTGATGATATGAGACAAGATGATAGGTTTAGAAATGCAAGTAATATTGGTGAGCTCTCTATTATGCTTGTTGCAACTAAGAAGCATGTTCTTTATGATTTGGTCTACTTACTCATCAAATTGATATTGATTTTACTGGTGGCGATGGCGAGTGTTGAAAGAGTATTTTCAGCAATGAATCTAGTGAAAAATAAGTTGAGGACTACTATAAGTGATGATCGCTTGAATAATTGCTTGGTGACATTTATTGAATGGGATGTGTTCATGAAAGTAAGCGAAGATGACATAGTTGATGTTTTCGTGGCAATGCAAAAACGTTACCAAGTGATGTAATTTTCTACTTGTGCTTCTTCCATGTAAGACTACTCGTATTGCAATTGAGCACATTTAAGATATATTTTATGAAGTAAATTGTTGTGAGATTTGCATTAAATTACTCATGTTATTATTTTGCCATATTTTATCTGACACATGGATTAGGTGGAAAAAAAATTTAAAGGGTGCACACCCTTCATTTTTTCCTGGGTCCGCCACTGCTCGTCGCCCTCCCAGACCACCGCCCTATCCCGCAAGCGCTCGGCTCTCGCAGGTGCCTTCCCTCCGATCCCTGGATTGGCAAGGTGGTTGACTTGGGTTGGGGGAGCACGACCCCGACACGCCACCAACACCACCACTGTGCCCAAGCTCGCACTCACGCGCTTGGGGAGATCGACTCGGTTTTTCAAGACTTCGCATACACGTTGCGTCCCACCCACCACACGGATACAGATATATATATAAACCGACTCCCTCCACTGTCATTCCGGAGCATCAACAACAACACTAGTCTAGTAATCCAGCCAATAGCGTTCCCGCCTCCTCTGTGACCTGAGAATGTGCTTCGAGTTCGGCTCGTGTTTCGGCGGCCCAAGGACGGACGACTACGGCGGCGAGCGGCCCAACCGCAACAACGAGCACGGCGGTGGCCGTCATGGCCGCGACCGGAGAGGGAACCACGGGAGCGCCTACAACGGCGGCGCCGCTGAACCCAAACCGGCACTGCAGGTGGCGTACCACTACCAGCCGCCCGCCACAGTCGACGAGGCCGGGCACAAGGCCTACCACGACGGCGCCGGTGGCCGCGGCGGGTACGCCGCCTACCCGCAACACAAGGCCGACCTCCAGGCGCCGAAGCCTCCCACGTGGCAAAACAAGGTCGGCGAGGACGCCTACACGGGGCGCCTCCAAGCCCAAGAACCTGCGGCCATGGATTACCACCACTACCCAACCATCAACACCACTACGACTCTAGGCAGGTACTAGCAAGTCAGATTAGCTAGCGTGGTAGTTTGTCTCAAAAAATAAAAAACTTGTGTGGCAGTTCATCAATCCCTCCCTCGCCCTGAACACAGCCTCTGCTTCTGCCCGGTAGCTCCGTTTTTTCCCTCTGTTTCCCCTGTCTCTTTAGATTTTGATCCGTCTTTTCATCTGCTGAAACTGAAAAGGCACCTGGAATAGGGGTCTGTGGATTTTGATCAGAGCATCCACAGATTTGTCCATGGATGTGCGGCACAAGTCCCAGTTCCAGGAAGCCTTTATCAGTCGGTCTCCGTAGTTGCTTGCCTGTAATTTTGCTGTGGCTGCTTTCTTCTTGTATCATATAATCATGTGAAAGGAAGCATTGTGAAACTTATATGAGTCCCCATCTCTGCTCTTGATATTCCAAGCTTGGCTGTGTATTGCAGTCACCCGGTTACAGGGCTTGAAGTTGGTGTTGTTGCCATTAAATTGATACTCCCTCCCATCCATAATGATTGACGCTGATTTCAGCGACAATTATTATGGATCAGAGGGAGTACCTGAATCAAACTTGTGTACCGCAAGTGTGTTACCGTCTATTCTAATCTCACAGCCATTCTGAAGCACTGAAACCACAATGTTTTAGAAGGGCAGTGAACATCTTTTTTTTTGGTTTTGGCACCTCATCTACTGCTTGGAATACTTCGTTTGTCCATAGAAAGGTTGGCACTGATCTCCATTCATAGAAACCAGAATTTCCTGCGAAGTCTCGAATACAAATCTTTATAACCATGTGCTTTCCCTTTTATATTCCATGACAGGTGGCACATATGCTTCTGATGCCATATTTGTTTTTTTTTTCTGGAGGGTGATGACGTCATGTATCCACCTAAGATGAAAATAACAAAAGTTTAAGAAATATGAGAGATGTCTAAGTTAATTATAGTGTTAAGTAAAAAAGTATGGTAAGACATCTCATGGTCTATGTCGCTAAGTCATCACTAAATGTGGACACTGGTATTTTTGACCTCACGTTCTCATGTCACCAAGTCATCACTAACTCCGGTGGATGGATTGATTGTTTCGACAACCGGAATACACCCTTGAAAAAGACGAGGAGGAAGGAGCAATGAGCATACGAAAGACAAACTACGCGACCCGTCATTAGCTAACTTTGCTCGATTACACAAAACTAGCCAAAAACCATCCCATGTAAGCTCAACAGCTAGGTGTGGGTGGTTGTCCCGCTCTATATCTGTGCCCCCGAATTTCTCTAAAATTTCATGTCAAAAACTCAGAATGTCAAGTAGTCCATCATGGTGTCCAAGCTGACGTATTCTATGAAGGTGCACTGCTGCATAATTGCCAATTGTTGATTGTGCATCATTGACGTACGGATGACTAAAATCAATAGTTACAAGAATAGCCACAAAGGGGCGTTTTTGAGTTGGCCTCTTTTTACATTCACTTGCGGTAGATTGATATGAGTAGTGCTTTCACTTTTTTATTACGTGTATGTACTATGTATAGCTACACACCGCAAATAGATTTTTTTTTTTTGGAAATAACCTTTAGGTGACAGCAAAGGCACAATACCATACCCAATACTCTAATCCAACGGTTCGTCCCCATCATATGAAGCAATGTCCTTCCCTAAAAACAAAAAGCGATGTACTAACACTAGATCCCATCCACCACTTCCCCCGCCCATGCACACACCTACACCTATATCCCCCTCCCGACAGGGGCTACACATACCACCACCTAACATCTCGTTCAAAGCCGTTGTATTGTATTTGGAGGTGAAAATCTAGATCAGTTCTTCGAATCTTCTCGGTGGATCAATCATAACATAGTATTTCGAGAAGCTCAGATAGATGTTTTTTCATAGGACTAGGAGGCATGGGGAAGTCTTTGTCATCAATGATGATTAAGGCATATGCAACATAAACATGTCCACATGCGAAAAATAAATATCATGTGGCAGGGTCACCAAACTTGGTAACCTTTTGACTTTGGGTTGGACACCCTACATGTATTTTTTCCAGCTAATGGTTATTTTCCAAAAAAAAAACAGTTGAGCAAGTGAAGAAATTGTTGGTCCGTTTATGAACTATATTAAAAGAAATTATATGTCGTCTCGCCACGGTTGGTGACCCTTCCAGGACTGAAATTTACTAATTGTACTCTACTCTACTACTACAAAATTCTGGAAGTGCTCTTTAATTAACTCATCCCTTGGTAATAATGTCAATGTGTTGTTTCCTCACAAAGCATTTCTACTGTTGTTTTCCCAATTCAAAATGAGATGAAGAGTATTATCAATCACACTTCTCATACAATAATTACGAAACACCAGTATTTAAAGCCAGAAAGGGCAATCTTTGGTAAAATTTTAAATTACATTACGATAAGCTACACTAAAATAATATGTTTTTGTATTATTTTTTCTTTAGGAACGTATGCTTTGAACTCGGTATGTTCGGGTTTTGTACATCTTCGAATGTGGTGAGACATCATCAATTTTTTTGTATTCTATTATATTGAACTCGATGTGTTCGGGTTTTGTACATCTTCTAATTTTTCTGTGTGAGCATGAAAGTTTTCAATTAGTAAGATATACGGTTTCTCAAAACTACCCTTTATGCTTCCATTAAACAAGTTCCCCCTCAAGAATAATGGTTAAAATGTATAATTAATTAACTGAAAAAGCACTAGAATACCACTAACTTTTCTGTTAGGGGTAATATCACTAACTATTTTAATGAAATGACTTCTCTATTTCAGAATATTACACCTTTTCCTAGTTCAGCCCAGGCAATCACTAGGCAGAGTTTGATCTAATTTCTCCCTCGTAGAATATACAAAAGAAATCTTCACAAGAAATCCAATTCGTTAGATCTCTCGGGGAAATTTATTTGCAAAGACAAAAGGATCTCCAAGGGAAATTATCATACTTTCATAGGATTCCTGATCGAGATCTTCCACCAACCTACCGAAAAGGAACTTGGGGGTTCTTTTAAGGTTAAAAATAGAGCTTATTTCAAAGACAGAAAAGGTCTATGTTGTTTTTTTGAAACGGATAAAGAAAAGGTCTATCTTGTGAAGATAAGTGCCAATAAGGCAATAACAATCATTTTTAGAGCATGTACACATGTGTTTAATTAGATGAGTACTCACGTACCCCGCAAAAAAAAGATGAGTACTCACGTAAAAACATTTTCCGTTGGTCATGTGTGCGCGCATTAGTGATTATATAGTGAAACATAGATATTCCATCAGAACAGTGATCGTCTGTATCCAACTAGTTGTTCCCTAATTCTAAAGTGCTCGAATGCTTTTTAGGTACTGATCATTGTAAAATATAGAGAATTTCCAATATGACCTTTAATTAGGTGATATACGTCTCCACAAAGACCTGTGTGCTTTACGTCGAGGCTTATAAAATACTCTGAGAATAATGGCAGAACTATGCTTAATTACTTAACTGAAGAACCACTCGAAAAGCACTGCACTATTTAATAGAAGATACCACTTCTCTTTTGCAAAATATTACAATTTTAATTCTAGTTTGGCATGGGCAATCACTCTGGGAAGTTTGATCCAATTCCACCTGCATGGAATATTCAAATAAATCTCCATCATGAAAAAACCAAATGTTCGATCTCTCAGTGAGATGATTTTTTTTACATATACCAATCAAGATCTTGCGTGAGTAAACCAGAAGTTAACCACTTGATACAACATAATCCATAACAAGTGGCATCAATCTCCAATAGTTAGGACTTTCGGTGGACAATCACCTTCGTAGATTGAGTTCTAATTAACTTTTACTCCCTCCTTCCATCTATATAAGGCCTAACCCAAATTTTATTTTTCCATCTATACAAGGCCAAACGAGCTAACCGATGCGTCTCCCAGTTAATTCCCCCTCGCACGTTGCGCGCGGTCATCCCTGTGAAAACGCGATGGCCGGCAGTATTTATTTGCATGCATGCAGAAAAAGGGGAAGTAGCAGGAGCGAGCTCTTTTTTGGCCAATGCATGAAGGCGTGGAGGAGTTATTTTTGAGCTACATGCAGAAAAAGGGGGAGAGGAAGTTGCATGGAGGGATTAATAGAGAGGGAGGAGAGCGGGTTGCACGGCATCCAAAAAAAATTTGCTTGCGATTTGGTTGGCCAAGTACTATTTCCAATATTTGCTCCTCTTTTTGTGCAACAGCCTTGGTATGAGAGATTCAAAACTTAGGCCCTGTATAAATGGAAGGAGGGAGTAGGTGCATATCCATGCCCATCCTCTGTGCCTTGGTGGCGTCCTGCA